GAGGAGGAAGAGGAGATAAGAGCGGGTGGATGATTATATCCCGAGTGCGGGCGCGTGGAGTGTTATAACGAAGGAGGCGAACCGATGGGTATCTCGGGCCGGGTGAGGTGGACGCGCACCGGATAGGCCTTCTTCCTCCGCTCGGACCGACCCGGCGGAGGGAGGGGACGAACTCGGCGCCTGATTTGGCTGGGCCGAGACCCGTGCCGAGGCCGAGGGGGGCGCGAAAAGTGTGCGGTGGACGCGGCGGGGGCTTCGTCGTGTGGGGGCGAGTTCGTGTGTGGCCGCGCTCCCTCCTGTGCTGTGATGCCAATTTTCCTTTGAGGGTTGCCGTGGCCTGCAGTCGGCGGAGTACGTACGCTCTCGCTCCTACTGGAGTTGTGGGTTTCTGGCAGTGGCATGAATGGTTTACTTGGGTCTTTCAGCGGCCGGGCGAGAGACTGATTTTTCGTGTTCATCGGTTTGCATCCAGAGATTTGAGAGGCTCGGGCCATTTCCGTGCCCGGATTTTCGTTGGGGTTCGTAGCGAAGCGTTTCTTACCGAGAGCTTTCAAGAGAGCGACTCCACGGATGATGCAGTTCGGTTACGACGCGTGGTGCACTATTACGAACTCGTTTGTCAGCTGCCGGGGACGTAGCTTTGCTTTGCAGGCGTGCGTGCATGGGGAACGCCGACTGGCTTGTACTATTTCGGGTGGTGGATGCTATCTGCAATGCCGTTACGTGGTTTTCTTTTTCAAAAATAAAATAGAATGAATGGTCATCGGGGGAGAGGTTCCCCACCTGAAAATTTTCCATTGGTTAAAGAAAAGGCCTAAAATACCAGATCGTTTTTATATCGGATAAGTACACAGGAGGGAACAAAAGGAGAATGAACCGCAGGACAAGAAAACCACCAAGATAATTAATTAGGTCCCACGGAAGTATGGCACCCACAACAAATACCGTTCCGGGCCAACTGGTTATGATTAGGAATCGGCACCACTCAAGCTTATATTAGTGCACCTCTCTTACTTTCAAGGCAAGCAGCAAGCAAGAAATCCGCCCATTATTCAGATCAGAGTTTCAGCTGCAATTCTTACATAATTACATTGCCTGTACTCCACAAAGCTATAGATATTCACATGGCGACAGACCGACCATGTTCGAATTCCACAAGCCTAAGCCTAAACATATCGATAAACCCTTTTATGCGCAGCATATAGTATAAGAACATTCAAAGATTCATAACGAACCGAACCAACACAGGAGCATATATATATATATATATGATGATACATATCCACTCCATTTTTGCTGGGCTGTGAGGAGATGCTCTGAAATATCACATCTAACGACTCATCAGCCATCTCGAGCTACGACGACACAGGCTTCATCAATCAGGCAGGGCCGTCAAGTGCCTGGCTCTTCCTGAGATTCCAGTGGAGGCCCTCATGGATGCTCCGCAGGAAGTCGGTCGTCGAGTCCACCAGGCACGCCGTGGGCAGGGGCCATGGAGAGACGCTGCAGATGAGGGCGTCGCCTGGCCCTAGCTGAATTCTGCCCTTGCCGTCGAAGGACGCCCAGGCTTGCCCTCTGCTGTTGAACGGTACTTGCACGCGCAGAGTGACGTATTCCGGCAGTATCAGAGGCCGGAATGACAATGAATGGGGGCAGATTGGTGTGAAAAGGATCCCTGGGACCTGCATGCACAGGCAAATCGTACAACTTAAATGAGAAGTAGTAACTGAAGGGAATATGAAACGATTACAAACCAGGGAGCGACAAAAAAAGAACCATCAAAATTGTCTAATTGCTGATACATGATTCTAATCAAATTGTTGGTTGTTGATTCATCTTAATTAATGTTACCATGTACAATGGGTTTTGTGACGATTTGAATAGCTGCTCAGGCAACATTTCAGAATATATAAAATGCATCTAGTAGAAATAGTGACCCCTTAAAAACTGAACTATAATAAACAGGACAAGGTTTTTAGGCCTTTTAAAAATTGAGATCCGCCTCAACTAGTTTTAAAACATATACTTTCCCCATATCATAATATAAGGCCTATTAGTAGGCTTTGACCAAGAATTACTCCACTAATAAATGGTTTATATGATATAAAATCATAATCATCAGCGAGTATTTTAGAAATGAATCTAGTGATACCAATTTCATGTCATATAAATAACAAGTAATTCCTGGTCAAAGTCTTGTCTTAATAAAACCTACTCCCTCCGTCCCATAATATAAGAGCGTTTTTACACTAGTGTAGTGTCAAAAACGTTCTTATATTATGGGACGGAAGGAGTAATATGCATTATATTATTTAATACAGAACAAGGCAGATAATAACCTTTCCAGTGATTTAAAACAAAATACTAATGGTAAATAAAATCTGGGGAGTATATGTAGAGTTAAAGGTATACCTGTGGATGTACCATTGATCCTCCAGCTGCCAGTGAATAGGCTGTGCTTCCAGATGTTGTTGATATTATTAGCCCATCTCCTTGTACGCATGTAACAAAAGAACTATCACAATAGCATTCTAAGTAGGTAAGGTAAGATGACATTCCTCGGTCAATTGTAACTTCATTAAGCACTAGAATCGGTTCCCCGGTCTCAACTTCATCTTTAGCTGCATCACGGATTACATGGCACTGCAGGCGGCTCCTCAGTGTGATGGTAAATGGTCTTTTCAGCACATTCCCCAAGCATTCACGATACTGCTCGCTTGCTAACCTTAAGTCAAGGACAAACTATATAGATGGTGGGTTGAGCACAGAGCATAAAGCTCCACCGAGGTAAAAAAAAAGTTGTATTACTAATATAGTATAAGATCACTGTTAGTCTGGTACAAAATATGTAAGCACCTCTGGTATAGAGATCGTATGAGATTGTGACACATATAGTGAAGTATGGATGTTAAATCTCTGAGACCAAACATTGCAATCTGCTATGGCCAGTTGCAGATGGAATCAAACATGCCATGGATCTGCTGCAGAGTTGAAAAGGCAGAAGTGCAATATCCAAATTTTAACGATGTAATAACAAAAATAAACAGCAGTGCAGTTTAGCAACATGGTTAGCAAGCACTCATAACAAAAATAACACTGATGATTAAGGATACGGAAGGGAGTCATGAAGCCCAATGATCCAAGAGAGAATGCAACAACTGGGGGAACTGGCCCTTTGAACAATGATGCAGCCTGTTTACAGATGTTGTCATGTTAAAGAGCTCCCTAGCTTAAACTGATTATAAAAACAAGCCATAAATACTGAAAATTATGGAGAACAAACCAGGACAGAATTTGTTTCAACATAACACAGCCAACATTTAGGTTATCGAGCAATTCAATAGTAGGACATTGCTCAGCTTATACTACTAACCGTAGTAGCTGCTAGATTGGAGTAGGTTAGAGTAGGTATCTCTTAATCCTGTGGTGTAGAGTAGGTCTTCTCTTGGTTTTGGTTTTGGCTTTGTCTGTTTTTGGTTTGGTCATCCCCACAGTTGGTAATTTGTACTTTGCGCTCGCCATTCTTTTTCTAATACAATATGAGTTCGAGAAAATAGCTAGGTTAGAGAAGTATCCATGTGATTAGAAATGTATTGAAGAACTCAGTGCTATTGCTCGTAGAACTAGACCTGGCTCACTATCGATAATCCCTGAGGGTTTATTGTAGCCACAAATCAATCAGCCGCCGCATCTTGCATTGACAATAGAAGAGTGGACGAACCACTCTCCAATGTGCTGTTAACTAAGTGAGCACACTTCAACATCTTGCACTCTAGCGGTCTAGCCATGCTTAATAGCATTGATACTTTCCTCTAAGTTGCTCTTACTGAACTTATTCAGTCATCTATCTACAAGTCTCTTCCATCCAAATAGCTTGTATTTTTTATGTACATCTGATAGTTACTCAGTTTCCTTCCAAGGTATATGTAATTGTTTTTTTTTATTTTACATTAACAGAACCTGGAAAAAAACTGTTTGACCTATTCTAATCATTTGGTTGTCCTTATTGCGAGCTGACACTTGCATAGTAAATTCCTATGCACAAAGGAACTAGGCGCACTAATAACACAAAATGTTGTGTTATAAGACTGCTAGTATATTTCATTGAAGGCTGAGCTAAACAAAATGTTGTCTGTGCTCTGTCAAACTAACCACACAACATCCATATTCAATAAACTGTCACAATAATTGTGCTGCATACCCATAGAACAGTTCCATCACCACCGAGAGTTACAATGAGGTCAACCTTCGTGTGTAATGTCTTCATTTCCTGATCTATCAGATATTTCTGATTAGTTGAGCACTATATGGAAAAGGTTATATGTGACTAAAAGTAGTACAATCAGTGATAGCTTAAAATCATCTATAAGAAAATACAGAAGAACGTTACTGGATATAATTCATCAATGGAGAAGGAAATGCTTAGTAAAAGATGACCCTCAAGCATTAACAGGAAGTTAGTAACAATTATAGCAAATATAACA